AAAAGCAAAGTGAAGACATTTCCAAAGGGGAGGAACATGTTGTTGTAAAATACATGTTGCATCAAAGTTTCTTGCTGTGTATCAGCTGACAGTTTACTACAGTGCTTTTATATTTTTCACTCGTCCCTCCGATGGAACCATGTCAGCCAGGCTGGAACAATATCTTGGAAGAGTTTGGGCGGGCTGGGAAATGCAAGTTGTGTCTGCTACTGTCGTTACACACTAAGAAGGTTTAGTTTGAGATTGATGTAATGCCACTCATTCATCTGGTCGGCCAAACTAATGAAGTGGCATTATCAGTTGACAGTAGGGAGCATGCACAAATGATGACATTTTACCAGTTAATTTTTTTAAATCTGGTTTTAATAAAAAATGTCGGAGGCATCTGGTTTAGTTAAGACTCTTCAAGGACGTGTCTACTTAAGTGGACAATGTTCATCATGTTGATCTAGAAGGAGCGCTGTCTGTAAGTTGTGGAGATTTTTATGCAACACAGAACCTTGGAAGTCATTTTTATTGAAATCCTAACGATTAACAGTAAAAAAAAATCTCTCCGAAAAAGTGTAAGTGAACCTAGCAGTAATGTATTTGTAAGTACTGGTATTTTCCTATGGATTTTCTTACAATACGTGTCTTTCGTCAGTTTAGGGAATAAAATAATCAGCCAACTTTTCCCACCATTTGGAGGGGAATACCAGTCGGTTACACACAGTTAGTCATCCTCGGTAAACATGCTGCACCAAACCGCATGCATACTGGCAAGGGCCCGGTAATCCACGATTAATTTCCGTCAATAATGCAGTCTGGGCCCAGCGCTCGATTAATCCAGATCCGCTGTTTCACCAGAACACCGCTGTCTGCGTCACAACCCAGGCAGAATCGAGTTTGTCGATTGGCTGTCGGATCCAAATCTCCCTTGAGGGGTGGCCGAGGGGAAACCTATTGTCCCCACTCCCACACCCCAGTCTCCAATCTCAGGTGACGGGGTGGAGAGAAAGGTGTGAGGAACAGGAGAAAAATTCTCCAGCAAGGGGTATCTGGGAAAAATTGGGTTAACAAAAGCTGTCTGTTTGTGGTTTCACCACCATTGTCAGGGGGAGGCGTTTAAACATTGCTAAATGTGTTGGAAGTAAGATCTGGGTTGGCCTCATGCTGTGTCTTTACCAAGCAGACATCAAGCTGATTACATGCACTTGAGCATAGGCATGAAAGGCAGCGGCATTTGGTGTTGGGGCTTCAGGTCGGAGGTCAGACTGCAATAGCTTAGGCATGCTGGGAGTCGGGATTGTTTGGATGAATTCCACCATGGGGAGATCCGGGGCGCTTTTTACGCTTTGGTATTTTCTATAAACATGTTCTTCCCCTGCCGTTAACAGAGGTAAGGACAGGTAAATGGCCAGTGCCATTATTGTTGTGAGCCTTTGTCTGGGGTGGTTTTGCAGGTCAGTGGAGGTGTGGGGGGTAAAAAAAGTTTTATAGCTATTGGGGTGGTTTTTGTCTGGCTGATGTGCATATAAATGTTGAAAGCTTATTGGTTCAGCAAGGGTTGACTTACTGAAGCTGTGGCTGCATGGAGATCTCATTGTGTACATCTGACTGTTGTCTTGAAAGTTTGGGGGTAGGACAAACCCTTGTGTATCAAAATATTTTATCCCCAAAAGTGCAGCTACATTGTATTTCAGGCAGGTTTTTTCTCCTAATGTTGAAAAATTTGTGGTGAATTTTTGGGGGGATTATATCCCCTAATACCACACACATGTGACTGGTGTCCAAGCCAAAGCTGACTTCTTTTTGCATGTTACATGTTTGTCTGGAAGTTTTGAAGGCTGGCTCCTTGGAGAGAAAAGTGTAGTCTTCACACTGCACTCTTACATGAGTCCTGCATAGCATTGTCGGTCACTGCCAGTGTAAATGACATGCCTGTCTATTTGTTAATTGTCTAATTGGGCTGTCACATTACTTGTTTATTTAGAACGACACAGGAAAGGAATGAAATTGGAGATCGATACCTGCGCTTAATTCGATCAAGTGAGTCTGGAGACAGAGCGGGCTGTCGAGACTCCAAACAGTGGTGTGCTCTTACCACACCATAATATTGTATTTCCAGGGATGCTAAATCTTTATATAAAAAGAGAAAGGGGAGGATTGAGAAATGTATCCAATGATAGCGATCGTTACATGTATGCAAATTACTCTTTCTGGCTGGAGGGGAGTCGGTGGGTTGGATTGCAAGGAGTCTGGAGAGCCAGACAACCTGTCGATGACGTGGCAGGTCTCAGGAATATCAGGGCCAGAGGTTGTGCATTGTTCGTGGCAAAGTAACAAAAGCTGCTGGCCTGTGACAACAATGCATGGTCCAGAAATTATCCTCCCCCCCTTCCCTTTTTTATTTTATGTTTTATTTTTTTATGCGGCACTGGGTTTATAGGTGACTCAAGGAGGGTGATGTGTTGTTCACGGCTTCCACTGTCTGAAAGCTACTTGAAATCAAATTAAGTCGCCGGTATCCAATTCCTGCATAGTAAGTGCCAGTTATTGTGGCATGGCAGCTGAGGCCCCGCAGGGTTCGTAATGAGCCCAGCGAGATTTTTTTTCCTCGTTGTACTCTTTCTCGCTCTCTCTCTCTCTCTCCTCTCTTTCCCCAACTTCTTCTTCCTCCATTTCAAGTGGCGATAAAATGCAGCGGCCACCGCCACCCCTTGGAATTGAGCGGCCTGTCAAGCTCCTGACTCGATTTCTCGTGTGGGATATTTTGTGACAGCCAGGGGCGATATGTTCTTTCCTGTCTCGTCACGAGCGAAAGAGAGCCAACTTTTTCTCTATCTCCTTTCTCACCGTCACAATCTTTCTATCTGTTCCTTTCTTCTTCTTTTTTTGGGGGGGGTTCGGCCAATGTTCATAGCATGAAGAAGTTCCGGTCAGTCACCTCGAATGAAAAAAAAAAAACCTTTTTTTTCCCTGCGTCTCATTAGAGAACTATGCCAAGTGTTTATTAATGAAATTGGAATTGGCAGCAGTGTTGCTAATGAGACTTGGCCAGGAGCTGTGCAGGTTGAGCTCATCGTCGTGTGAATGGTGCTGTTTGTAATTGAGATCTCGTTTTTGGAGATATGTGTTGTCGGTGTCGTGTTTACTTGGGATGCCCTGGAAATATGTGCTCATATCCATTGATAGACTTGCACATGTTTTGTTAATTTACAACTGATTTTGTTTCAAATTTGATGGGGCATGGTTTGCTTTTTTTGTGATAGTTTTTGTACTGGATTAGTTGGAGTTCATTTGAAACACCCACCATTTTTCTAAAATGACAAGAACCATATCAGGGAGGCACGGTAGACCATCTGTTTTGAGACCAGTGCCCCTGTGATGTTAATTACAGTGATTTTTGAGTCATGCGGTCATGTTATACAAACGTGCCACATGATACCTCAATTTCCCCCCAGGACAGAATGTCAGGACATTGTGGTGAGTTTGTATCGATAAAAACTGAGATGTGAGGGGGGAAAAAAGATTGCGTTCAACCTTCTCAGAATTAGTCACCGTACTCCTCAGCGTGAATCAGAGTAAATATCATAAAAATGAATTGTCCAGTTGAATCACTATCCTCATAAACACTTCCTAATACCAATACTTCCTTGATCTCATGAACAGTAAATCATTCGTCCACCATCCCCCATCCTCCAACTGTCCTCCTCTCCTAAAAGAAAACAAAGCAAGTTGCAAGAACTTGAATAAATTTATCACCTCTTGGCCAGACGACAGAAGTCATATTCTTCTTGTGTGTCGCATTGCAACTGGACTCAAATTTTCCGCCTTGACTTTTTAATTCGCAGAGTACCCCGTGATTGAGAAAGAGGCAAAAGGATGCATCATAAATTGCTTGATTTTTTATATCTTTTTTTTTTTCTCTCCTTCTTTTTTCCTTTTTTTTCTCCTTTCTTGGTCGCTGTTTGATATCGTCGTCTGCCTTGTGATTAGGGAGGTGATTTATCGCGGACAGAGTGCGTTGTAAATAAACAGTCCGGATTACTCGCTGGTTTTATTCTGCAATAACGGAGCACAGCCAGCTGGCAGGATGGGAGACGGATGCGGTCTTGGAACTTGGCTTTGTAGCCTGGGAAAGAGTAAAGGGAGAAAGTGACAAGGAGTTACAGCGACCAAGAAAGGAAAAAACACAAAAAAAATAGCTTGTACACAGTGCATACGGCAGGTTGAAATCTATTTCCAAGGATGGATTTGGGCCACAGGAGATCAATTTTTTAAACAATGCAAAATTAAGTTGAAATCTACCAAGACGGGGCCAAGGCACTTGAATTTGTTGCACCTGCTAAGCAGACTTCCAACCAAACCCTGGATTCATGGCACTGTTCTCTGTTGATCTCATGGAGTCCCTGTTCAAAAAGGAAAGCAAGATGTTTGTGCACAATGTATACTATCAGCGGTATTCAAATTTTGTGAAAGAATAAACTTCCTGGGATTGTCCTCAAGTTGCACTCGTTGGCCTCATGATGCAGTATTTTTCAACATTATAAGTGTTTCTCATTACCCCGTTAGTGAGTGGTTTCAATTTCCTTTTTTTCCCCCTCCAGTTTAGTCATTACAATTACTGTTAACATCACAACCCCTCTGCATTGATAATTCTCAGTTGTATAGCCGTAACTGGATATTCTGAGGTAGAGTGTACTGTATGGGCAAAGTGGTTTCTTTCCAAATCCCATGTGTGCTCGGGAGGGGGGGGTTAGAAGAAAAAAACATCTCTGTGAAGTAGTAGGCACATTTCATACACATTGTTTAACTGGCACCTGTACTCCTTTCATTTCAATGTTTCATGAGGCATTTTCACCTGTCTCTCTTGGGTAGGCACCAAACAGTGCCCTCAACTGTGCCTCCACAAATGCCTCCCTGCAGCATTTAAATGCCCTGTTACAATGTGAATGGCCTGTCTTTAATTAACAGCATCACACAATTTACACCTTCCCTCCTCAACTTGCTTGTTACAGGGCCGCTGTACGCGAGAAGACTGCAAATACCTGCACCCGCCACCCCACCTGAAGACCCAGCTGGAGATCAACGGTAAGAACAGTATCGCAGCCCAGAAGATGCTGCAGAACTTTCACAACCAGCAGCTGCAGCTGCAGGCTGCTGCGGCAAGCATGCAGCTGCATCAACCCGGCGCCACCATCTTGCCTACGCACCAGGCGCTCAACTCACTGGTAAGTAAACTCTATCAGTGTTACCGCTTCTTTCAGTTCTTTTCCTTTCTCCTCAAAGCTCTACTCGTTAAAAAGTGCCTCCTGCTTTAACCACTTCAGTTGGTAGAAGGGCCAGAAAGGAATGCTGAAGCTGTATCAGTTTTGTGCACACCCTGTTGAGGGCACCGCATTCACTTTGCTTTGAGCATGTCAGAAGTAAAGAAATGGTTTCTGGAAATACATCGCAAACTAGGAGAGTGTCACTTCCATTTTTATCACTGTAGTACCTGCGTGTGAAAAAAAAGTATGTACTACCTTTGTGCACTGTGTAATAAAAGCACTTGCTCCGCTTTTCTGTTTTCCTGTCTGTCTTTGGCTAGCCAGCCCTTGATTTGATTGCCCTGCCATACAGAAATAATTACGTGCCAAGATACTACATGTGCTTGGCCAAAAAAAAAAAATCATGCAGTGTGCATCGTATTGATGTTTGGACAGAGGGACCTTTGCTAAGCCAAATTGTGTGTAATTGAGAATCTCTGGTCTGTAGCATTGCAGCATATGGTAGAAAATGTAGTTCTGTGGTAGTGAGATTAGCAAGTGCATTAGTTGCTTTTTTTTTATATTTACTGTAAACAGCTTGTTTTGCACAAGAAAATCAATTGAATACAAATTGTATGTGTGCTATATCTTTAAAACAGCTGTCATTAGCATTACAGTGAAACAGGTTTGTCTTTTTCAGAGCTTTGTCTTTGAGCAAACTAAAAAAGATAAACAAGCGCACATACCAACTAAATCAAACAATCCGCCCCGAGCTGAAGTGCACCCCCAATCGGCGAAAGAAAGACGGGTGGTTACAAGCGGGTTCTTGCATGCGTTCTGGCTGTATGCAAGAACCATACATGCCGCGATAAATTAGTTACGCTTACCCAGCGTGCTCTGCGTCAAACGCGCATATACTTGCGCGCCTCATGGCGGTGCGTACCAAAAACATGTACCCTCTTTTGTTCCGCTCGGAGCAGATACAAGCAAGACTGCTTGCCACTCCTTTTTCAGTTGCAGTGCTTTTTAGCTTCAGGCAGTGCAAAAGTTTCTGCTTTCTCCTGTTTGGAATTATGCCTGTATTTAGTCTGGCCTACCTGTTCTGTTCGTTCATAAGTGCACTTAGCATTGTGGGTTCCAATAACGGGATGCTTGTTGCCCAAACCCCCCCAGGACAGTTTTTTTTTTGCATGTGACACAATAGACTTGCACCCGGCCCATTTCCACTTCTCATTTCCAACACAGTTTTTCATTTTTCTGGGGAGGGGTGCCCAGGGCAGCGTATCATCCCTCTTTGTGGTTAACAAAATATCATGGCAGCTTTTTACCCAGCCGATTTTTCATTTGTTACGTTTTCAACTTTACATCATGCATTGGTTTGAAACACAGACCATGATCATGCAGTGACAGATGTTATTTCCCTTTTTATGTGTTACCTTTTTTCAGTTCAGTTTAGCTTATGTCTTTGGCGATGTGGAATGACCTAGTGCAGGGCATACAGCTCTGCTAGTTACTGGAATTGTATATTCATGGCACAATGGGGTTGCAACACCAAAAAAAAAAGAAAATCATAAGGTCACCAATTTTTTAGAATCAAGTTTGTGTAAGTAAGGGCATCTCCAGAGAAAAAGCTGTTTGGCAAATTGCATCTTGCAATCTATGGTAAAAATATGTTGTACATATATTTGTCTGGGATTGAGAAATGATGTAAGGATAATAGTAAATAGCCAGGTGTGGCCATCCAGCCTGCCTGTGTTGATCTTACAAGAGGCTTGTCCAAGGAATGCAGCAATTACATTGCTGCCACCATGGTCGTATTCCTTAAAAAGCCAAAATAGAATTCTCACATGAAGTCAGTCAGATTGTCAGCACCTGCCAACTTGGCAATGGGGCCCCTATAAGCAAACTGGTCACTGCTTGATGAAGGTCCGTCCATCCAGATATGAATTGACACCAAGCAACCCTCTATCTTTGGCATAGGAGTTGGTTGGCTGTCCAACTTACCCGTACGACCACATGGGACGATACAACGCCAGCTGCACTAGATGCTTACAAACTGAGGTAGGAATATCACACGTAAAGGACATTTCCAGCGTTACTCCCGTTACATTTTGTCCACTTTTTAGCCCGGCTTACTCTCGGGGAGGGGGGGGAAGGGATGCCAGAAACAGTGTTTGGCAAACACACAGCATAGACAAACTGGAAAACTGGATTTCATTCATCAGTGTGGACAGAATGTTGTGAACGCTGTTGGGAATTGTCCTAGCTTTGGTCCAAATACTAGTACATTTAACATGGCTGTCCCATCTTCCCCCACCCAACCCTCTCCCCATCCTCTTTGATTCCTCTCCCCCCCCCAAAAAAAAGGTTCACTAACATTAAGCAGCTAAAACCAGTGCTTTACGTTTTGTTATTGAGCACTTACATGTAATGTGAGTAAAGAATATTTTATAAGGCTGCTACATAAAAAACACAGTGGTTTACGTTGGATATGTAAAAGTGAGTGTGAATCATTGGCAGCGAAAGGGGGAACAGGGGGGCCAGTAGCCCCGTCCCTCCCCTTTTTTGAGTGGGGGGGGGGCCTGTAACGGGATGGGGCTTGATGGATCGGCCTATTAATGGCTGATGCCTGATGGTCTAACAACTGGCCCCCCCACTTTGAAAATCGTCCCGCTGCCGCTGGTTTGAATATTCAAGAGGAAAAAACAACTTTCTTTTTGTCTTGGTGAGAATCCAACTCAGGTCACTGCTGTACATGTAGAAAACATTAAAAGCCAACTGCACCAAACCAAAAATAGCTGAAACATACATCAGAATCTCTTTTAATCAGCGTTTTGCCTTTTCAGTAAGTTGTGTCACCTGGTGGTTCTAAAGGTTTCAATTAAACTGGTTAATCCAATCAGCAAGTTACGCTGTACATTTGGAATTGGCTGTGAGTCAAATTCAAGTGTACTGTCTGGGAAGAGTGTGACTTTGTGAAATGTGCATGATTGTACTTGTTGTGGATGACATTTTGTCTGCCTGCTGCATTTACTGTGTCGCACACATTCATGGTAGCCTTGTGAAAAATTTAAGTGAATGGTTCCAGATGTACATGTAGCTCAACACCAGCGTCATCACTCAGTTTTTGAATGCTTCCCCGAGGGGGAAAAAAATTAACCTGCCAACTCTTTCACCGTGAAATGTGAAACAAGGATCACATTTGAAACCATTCTTGTGCGTGAACCTGAGGGTGCTATTCAAACAGCCGGTGATCGCTTTAGAGGAAGGATTTGCTGCGCTTTATCCAAATCAGGTGGCTGCGGCTGGCAGTAACACATTTCTATAGTATGTGGATGCAGCTACGACCCAAGGGATTGCATAGGTGAACATTTTTGCCACAGCTGCAGCCACACCTTTTGGACAGCTGGAGGAAAGCCGGATGGTGGACAAATTCCTTATCTTCCCTTAATGGCACCCTCCAGTGCCTTAATAGATCAGTGCATGCTACATGTACCTGTCCTGACTCCTTTTGCATGCAATAAATGAAATGTTAATACCTGCTATTTCTGTTCATGTGGCTTTTTTAGGTTTCGAACTGTTGACCTGTGTGGCATATGTTTAACTTCTGTTGTGTTGTCTTTTTTTTTTTTGTAATTTGTGTCTGTCTTCAAAAGTTTTCTGTCACCAAACCTCTTATCGCTTCAAGTTTTTGCTTTCGGTGTTTGTTTTCACTCCAACTTACTTCAGTTTCAGTTGTTGGAATTTCACTCTGTTCCTTCAATGAAATGGAAACATGGCAGACTATTTTACAAGCCAAGAAGGATCATCCGCCATTACAACAAAAAGTCCTCAATATTTGTACCATCGTAGAATGCACTTTCATCCAGTTCGTTTTATTATATCCGCCCTGAATTGAAGTGCACCCTCACCGGCAAAAGACAAACAGACTGGTGCGAAGTTTTCCAACCGGTTTCTTGCAAGCATTCGGCATACATACAAAGACCATACATTCCAGCATAAATTTGTTGCGCGTATTCAACGTGCTGGGCGTCAAATGCGCATAAACTTGCGCACCTATGCAGTGAGTTCGTACCAAAGGACTGTCGATTTCATTTAAAAACATGCCCTCTTTCTTTCCACTCAGAATGGATAGACCTGGTAGTGTTTTCCCCCCTTGTTTCAGCTGTTACTTTGGTTGAGCTGTAGTTGCCAACTGTTTCTTGAGAACAATTGTGTTCATTTATTTTTCCGTTTCATTTCAAGTAAGAAAGACTGTAATTTGAAAATACTGGAGTCGCTCGTGCACTAGACAACATGCATTTCAGACAAGTAGTAAATGTAGAACTGACTAGATGTATTTGGTTTTATTTTGATGGTGCCAAGGGAACAAGTCACTAAGCTAAAAACTGACAGAAATTCCCATTGTCTTTGTGAGCTCAGGAGGGTTCAAATCCAAAAAATTGTGATATTTGATTATCTATTCCTTTTCCTTCAAGGTTAAGGGGATAGTGTATTCACTCTTGCGTTATTTGCCATGGTTTGGGCGTTTCAATGAACTCAGATTGAGCAACCATTTTGAAAGCAGGAATATGACTAAATGCCTTATTACCAGGAGAATATTGTCTTCTTTTTTTTTTCAATGTACTGTGTTGTTTCCCCCAAAAGAAGGTAAAGAATAATGAATTCTTGTTCCAGTATTTGCCTCCATTGGGTTTTCATTGACTTGCCGGGAGCTTTTTGTAGATTGCGCGGTAGCTGGGATCTATTTGCATGAACAGGCTCAGTGAGCCACTCACCAGCACCCAACAACGCCGACGAGATAAGAGCTGGTCTTTATTAGACTTAATTTCCACGCTTGATCCACTTAACGCTGAAAGGCTGATATCATTACCCAGCACGGTGGCAGAAAGAAACAAGGAGAGAGAGAGAGAGAGCGTGAGAGGCAGGGAAAAAAAAAAACAAGTGTAGGTCTCTCAGTCTGGGAGCGTTGACACGAGGATACACTGAGTTGGCAGTCCTCACCTCCAGACAAAAGCAGCTCGAATTAATTACAACAGCGGTGATTTTTTTCGACCAGCCGGTGAACTCAGCTGACCCTGTCTCTTGCGGGGCTATCAATCAAACTGGCCCTTGACGCCTTCTCTCCAGCTTTCTTTGGTTCCTTTTTTTATTTGTGCATGAGTCATGGTGTTGTATCTTTTCATTTGGTTTTTTCCTTTAGCGGTCATACTGTGTGTCAAGTTGGACGTCTCTCCTCTGACGTCTAAATGCGCAGCACTTCAGCTCTCCTCCGAGGAGCATGAAATTTTCAAGATCTGACAGTTATTACACGGTCATTCTGGTTGCAGGTTTTATAGGACTTTTTTCTTCCTCTCATTTCTTGCCACCGCAAATCGTCCAGACCTTGGTCCCTTTTCTGGTAGCCAGATTCAAAGTGTTTACTCTCCGTCCAAGAGAGGGGAATGGCCAATGGGGGGGGGGCTCATCTGCATGATGTGCCATTGGCAAAGCTCCTCTGTTCAGACAGTTCTTGGGTTTCACTTCACTGTAACAAGTACACAATGCAAGTGGCAAGAGAATATGGTGCAGTAGATTTTTTTTAGCTGGCATTTTCTTGACATTTTTTTCTTCATTAGGAGTCAGGGACATCTCTGATGATCCATATATGTAGTTTTAATTTTTCTTATTTATCTTTTCTATTTGTTACTTATTGATTTGTCCATTGTTTAGTTTGGCAGACTTGGCTGTTTGTACATCTGCATTTCAGAATTTGGCAATTCTGTTGCAAGATTGACGTGAATCCGATGTGGTCAATATTCTTGTCCCGTCGGCCAATGTCCAGTAACTGACATTGCACATATTAAGGACTTGAGATGTGTGAATAAAGGATTTTATATCTGCAACTGTGAGCGCCTGGGGAGATTGATTTTACCCTACATTTGATGATTTAGACAGAGGTTTAGCTTGTGTGAGTAAACATACTCTTGGACGCTGTTTTCATTGAACCGCATGCATTCCATCCTGTGTGAGGATATCTGTACAATCTTCTGTTTGGGGTTTTGTCAGTGAAGAGGTCCTACACATTCCATTTTGTGGAATACAAAGCTGACACATACCCTGTTTGGACTTCTCCAATGGGATAGGACAGGTCCACGCTTCAGAGTCTAATGTAGTATTTGTCTTTTTGTGGGGACTTGGATCCTGGACACATTTCCCCGTTGGAGTGTTGAGATTCACAACATGGCTTCATTTATGAAATGCAGATTCAACTCCACGACCCCCCCTCCTTTTCAGGGTATTTAGATAAGCATCAACTGAGCCCGGAAGATGTTTTCCTGCCATAGTCCCCTGTTTCCTTCTTGGAGACTGTCGATCCCATCAGTTTCCATCTCCATCCACTACAGCCTTCTGTTTTCTTTATTAATCGCTCCTTGTCCGGGTGTCAGTCTTGCATTATCCTTCCATGGGGAGTCCTTTTGTTTCTCACCCTTGAGGGGTGTCTGTTGCTGACATGGCCTACCCCTTTAGTCCAAGTGTCTGTAGGGATGTTTATAATTGCTACTGGTGGTGCCCTGGAGTTAAGCCCAGGGTGAAGAATGTATCTTAGGCTGCGATTGTCTGTCTGGGGCTTCTTCTTCTTTTCTGTAGCTGTTCATCTGTCTCGCTTTTACAGATTTCAGCAAAATATTTTCAGTATTCTTTCTTGGCTTGCATCTGTTCTATTGGCGTATTTATCTGAGAAGTTTAAATGTAAAGTGATTTCTGAAAAACATTTCATGTACAAAAAATATGATTTTGTTTGAAATGACCATTAAACTATTATCTACATAACTTCCTATTAATCATGAATATTCATGTAATGTTTGTATTTATTGAGTGTGTGATGAATATTCATCACATTTTTGTTTTACTTCCATCGCCATGAAAGCCCTAGCTACAAGCTGTCTTTTTTGTGAACATTCAGTTTAACAGTAGTCATGCTGAGACCATAATTATGTACAGTACTCCTGCATAGGAAGGAACTATTCCCAAACAAGGCTCTGTCATGAATATTCAGTGTGTTAACCAAGTGTCATCAACACAGATTATGAATAAATGCAGGACACAACCCCCCTCCCCTTCCTTGGGAAAATCCAGGTTGATTATGAATATTCACAGGCAAGAAACCAAACCTAATGCTGATGGATATTCGTGTTGAGCTCTCCACCATTCCAGCAATGATTGAGCCTTGTTTTTCGCCCTTTTTTTCTGTTGGTTTGTTTGTTGCTCCTGTAGGCACCATCCCCAGCGTTGAGTACCTCTCCTGCCCTCAGTACATCACCCGCTGTGTCTGAATCATCTTTCTACAGTACCTACTTCTACCCCATGCCTGTTTCCATGGTTAGTTATGATTTTTTTTTTTTTTACATTTAGTTTTGGTTCATTCCCCTTCAGTTCAGTGTCTTAAGACAAGTGGAATTTTTTTCTCCAAGAAGCCTGAAAGTCTGTCAATTGTGCTTGGGCTTTCTTCAAAATGTTGAAAAGTACTTGTGCAGTTTGTGGGGTTTTTTTTGATGACAACCTTTCATAAAATAAATGTAGTAATTTTGCCAGTGCTAGTGTAATTGAAAGGGGAACATTATTTCAGTCTTGCTGTTTGCACCTCTTTAGAACTCAAATCTGAGTTTATTTCATCAGAAATTGTGCTCTTGTTTGTTCAATGTGTTCTTGAAATCAAGCTTAAGTTCTGAAATGAATTCAAAAGTTGGAGTGTAAACCATTTTTCTTTATGTTCCCAAACTGTTGGGAGGCATGTTACCATTGTGCAGCTATACCTGTTAGATCTATGGACAGTCATCTACCCCATTGTTAAAAAAAGCCCATTCTCCCAGCTGTACAGAGAGATAATTTGTGAGATAAAGTGAATGCCAAATCAAATTTTATAACAGTAAAAATTAAAAGAAAACTCATGCCAAGTCCAAATCAGCCGTGTGAAGAACTTTTGAACTCTTCAACTCCAAATACACGTACATATCACACAACTCCCACTGTTGTGTGAATCATCATCTTCAGTCGACATAGGATTGCCAAAAACTGTCCCCGAGTGAAACATTTTCACTCTTCAAGTGAGATAGGCTGTGAATTGTGGAGCCTGGCCACAATTGAAACACTCAATAGACATGTTGCGTGAGAAACACACCTTCCCCTACTATTTTTTTCTTTTTCTATTTGCCCAAGGCTGTAAAAGTGACTGTTTCTTAAGAGCACTGCACATCGTGATTAGCCCACTGAGAATGCCACATCTTAGGCCTAGTGTTCACTGTAGTCATGTCGCTGGGGGAAACAGGTTGAAAGATAACAGCTTGGTCAGAGCTGATCCCTCATCCTTCTTGTATAAATTATTATGAGTGTTTCTACACTAAAGGTAGCCATCAAGCTATTTTTGAATTGGATTCATGGACTTGCCACTAAATCTTTCAACGAATTTCAAGTGTGAATCCTTCGGCGTAGTTTAGACCATACAAGCTGTCAGCATCCTTGCTCACAACCAAGTGAGGGCAACATAATCACACTGACACCGGTCTTTTCATGCCCAAATTAAGCTCTGGTCATGAACAGGAAACAGTGTATGCTATTAATCCAATGCTAATACTGACAGAAGTGTATTGCGTGTTCAGTGCGCAGTGTTCTTGAGCCCTTACTCCAAATGATGAAAGTCTGCCATAGTCCCACGTTTGTCAGCCATAGTGTGTGTCAAGGTGACAATGATGTTTCCTGCCCTCTTGCAGTAGGCAAGAAAATCAAGACAAATTGAAAACCACAGAAGTATTGAAAACAGAAAATGTCAGTGTGCGTGTTTTTAATAAAGTTGTTATGCATGTTTTATGACTAAAAGGCCTTCCAAAAGCATTTTGTGTTGATGGTTGTTGCTTGAATGAAAGTAAGCATGACTCGCTGCACACGCTGCACTGTTGCTGAAATAACATTACACTAAGAGTATGGAGAATCTGCATGGCTGTTCGTTAAATGTCAGGTTGTATATTTTTTAATCTTGCTAATTTGACATGCATGTATTAGCCCGTCAAACGGTGTTCCGTTACAAGAGCCAACTCATTTTAGACTTTCACTCAAAAGAGGACTTTTGTTTGACTGCTAGTTTTCCAGCGTTTTAGGGAAAAGGGGATATATTTGCATTGGTTGTTGCAATTTAAGACCACCAGATGGAAAAGCCAATCCTAAGTGTTGACAAGGCAAAGCTGTCATTATGATCACCAAACCTCAATGAACTTGCGCTTTTTTTGGAGGGGAGCAAATGCATTGTATCCACATTTCAGTTCCAAATGTCAGCTTCAAAGTCTGTTTTATTTTTCCCCCTCAAGCCCACAGCCAACCAAGTGCCCAGTCAACTCAACTCTATGTACTCACCATATCTGACAGCAGCTCCCACCATGGCTCCAGCAAGTCATATGCAGGATTTCCCCACACCTGGTCAGATACTGACCCCAAATGGAACTGTAATACCCTACCTTCCACAGCGTCCCAAGAACGACAAGTTGGAAGTAAGAATATCAAATCCTGTCCTGTTCTGTGTTTGTCCTGTTTGCCTGTCTTTTTTCTCACGCTAACTCCCCGAGATTGTCCATTCCTCAAATATGGTGGTTCTGTTGGGAGTTACTTGAATCTCCAGAATTCCCTCATAGTAGAGTTTTTATGATAGAGGGGCCATTTCTACTGGAACTATCAAGTGCACGTGTGAGTTTCACAAAATTCACAAATCAGAATAATGCTGTGTATTGGCTGTGTAACTTAAAGCTGGTTCCAAACAAAACATGCACAGTGATCAAACCAAGTTGAATTTGAGAAGGCTATTCCCAAAAGAATGGGCATTGATGGACCCTAATAAGTTTGCTAGATAGAGGATGATATGAAAGTTTATGTTCATTTTGAGGAAAATGAGACACTGTCTGGTTTCATTAAGACACCGCTACATCTTACGCACATGTTCTTTTAAGCTGCAGCAGGATGGCTTGTCTGGGACTTGGTCACATGATGAAAAACTCCAAATGTGTTGCGATTATGCCGTGGCTGTCCATTTTTATTGTCAGTTTGAGCGCTAGGAGGTCAAATGTCTGTGACACCTCATTGGGTTTTTATACGACCAAAAACCAACTCCCTCACACCTAATGTGTTGTCATTTCAAAGGTCATCAGTTTCAATGCTTTAAATTAAGATATTGAAATCCACACCCCCTCCCTTAAGAATTTTTTTCTGTGCTATGTTGGTAGTTTGGGGTGTCATTGTGATTTCCTGCTACATTAACTGTTTGATGGTCTCTTCTTTTTGTGCTCTATCGCCTCATTTCCCTCTTCTCCAACTTCTCATGATCACTGCGCTTTCCTACCCTCTTACCCCATCCTTTCCCAATTTCTTGCTCTCTTTTTTTTTTTTCCTTAATTTTTTTAACCCCCCTACCCCTCCAAAAAACCCTCCTCCTCCCAGGTCTGTCGTGAGTTTCAGCGGGGCAACTGCTCGCGGGCGGAGTGTAAATTTGCCCACCCTGCGGAGGGGGCTGCTATAGATCAGCTAGACAACACCGTCACCGTCTGTATGGACTACATCAAGGGGCGGTGTAGTCGCGACAAATGCAAATATTTCCACCCGCCCGCGCATCTCCAGACCAAAATTAAGGCCGCCCAACATAATAACAACCAAGCTAGCGTTGTGGTGAGTGTCACAGCACCCATGCTGCTCAGTTTTTTTTTTTCTCTCTCTCTCTCAGTAGTTTTTTCACATGTCTATATTGTCTAACAATCTTCCCAGTGTTAGATAGCGTAAATGTCTCTTTTTTCCCAGTCATTTGGGGTCACCAGTAGCACTAGAAGCCTTTCCCCTCCCTGTCCCTTCTGTGTAGCTTGTGGTTGTTGAATCAAACCTAGCATATGATGTTGATGACCTGCCCACATACACATCTTCCCTTACCCCCACCCCCTACCCCACCCCCACCCCCTCCCCTCCCCCAACACCCCCTCCCTCTCCTACCGTACCTCAGCCAACATTAAACCAGTTTCTTCTTACCTGATCTGTATCTCTTGACACTTTCTAATGCAGCAGTTAACATAACTCTGTTGTCTGGCGTCAATGGAACCGTATCTGAATCTCGCCATCTTGCTTTTTCTCACTGTCTCGGTCAGTCAGCCCTTTCTACTTGCCTTTGCCACTTGTCCAGCTCTGTTTTCTTTTTTTTTATACCTCTGTCTCTCTCAGCTTCATTTTTCCAGTAAGCCTTTAAATTCAGCCCTGCGTTAAATGAAAATGCTTGCATTAACTGATGAGATGAAAAGATTGAATCACCAATGGATCCCGATTCCTGCTATGTGTAAAGTTTCAGACAAGCCATCTCCAATTTCTTGCTAAACAAATTTAAAGAATCACAACTTTTTGAAAACTAAAGTTTGTCAGAAGATTGACCTATCATGCCTTCAATGCATTTTGGAAATAGCCTTTTTATAGCTGCTAAGTTTCGCTCCATCCACGATAGAATGTGCGCTGCTTTGATAGGGTAGAAATTACAGAATATTCTGGTTCAGCCCAGTAGAAAACAGTGGCAGCCATGTTTGTCTAGCTCCCTGTGCTCAAGGTGAGGATCGCTATGGAGTTGATCACCACGCCACCGGCACCAGACTTTTTTGGCCATATAGCCTCGTTCTTAACCTCATCAAGTTGTGTCCAGGACACCCAAGATGGCTGCCGTATTAAACCCACAGACTCTGATCCCCGATCAGATTTTATTTCCTCATCAGTTGGGAACTTTTGTGAGTATGCTTCGGGTCAGGGCTGAGTTTAAAAGTATAACACTATGATATAAACATTTATTGCTGTCCAAGGGTAGAGGGTATTGATTATTGAAATTTGTTTTCGACTTTCACCCATCAGATCCCAGCTATTAAAGACTTCAATACAAAAATAGTCAAAGAACTATTCAAAAGCTTTGAGATGGGCATAATTCCTTCCTCTTACTGGCCATCTTGAAGCAAACGTGAGGCAATCTCATTGTCATTATTTTCAAGCAGATAAAGACCGAAGAGGGTGCACAAATTTTTATGAAAACAAAGGAAAGTCTACAGTTAGAATGAAACCCATCGGAGTCATCTAAAACGAATGAGATTTAGGGACACAATCTGAAATGGGTTAGTTGTAAAGAAGGCACGTGACCCAGCAGCAGTAATTTGTCCATTTTTCAGCTTTTGCCCTGAAAAGAGAATTGCATTTTTCTGAAACAAGACAAAGAATTACATTCTTTAGACCTTTCCCCTTTTCATTGTCTTTTCATCTTTTTCAAACCTTTTAAGTGAAAGAATTTCTCCCTCCTTTTTCCATGGTTTCTGTGACTTCCATTTTTCTTACCCTCCCTGTCTGATTTTCTCTTTTCCCTTACCTTTTCCTTCGCCCCCCCGCCCCCACCTCTCCTCCAGCCCCACCCTTACCCCAGTGTCCAGTGTAATGTAACCACTGTTTCACGACCTTAGTCATAGTGTCATTTTGCACAAGCGTTACCCTCCCCCTTATGGCATAATGGAACAGCCCTATACCCACTTCTGGCCTATCAGTGCATGGGACACTCAAGGCAGAGTGATATTGCTTTGCATAAAAGGGGGATTGTCATACTTTTGTAAGCATATCTGGGAAAACTTGGTTGCGCATAATATATTCAATAATAAACCTTGTAGCTTGTAAAATGTTTTTTTGCGGGCAATGTTACATAATCAAATTGCAGGTGTGACTTCAGTAGATCAAGCTATACTCGGACAACTGTCATGGATGTTTTAATCGTAATGCAGTACTGCTTCAAACAAGATGCTGTGCTGTTGATTTTTAATTGATGTGCATTTTTCAAATTCTTATGAATATGTTGTGTATTCCTTCTTGTAGCCCTTTTGATACGTGTCATATTTCAGTAGAACACTGCCAAAATCAGTTTTTAAATATTCATTCCTGTCTGATACTTGAAATAGGAATTATTGTTCATGTTGAAGTCCCTTTTACACAAACCAGTGTTTTGTTGTGTTCTTGATGATTACAAAATGTTGGTTTCTCCTTGTGTTAACGCAAATATTTTACTGTTTGCAGAGTTGTTGGTTGCAGCATTGGGCAGGCAGTCCTAAACTTTACTGAAAGCGAGTTTTTTTTTTTGGGATCAGATTAAGGCATTATTAGAATATTTTTTTTTACACAAAAGAGTAAATACAAAAAGGCAAGGTGGTGCTCTGATTACACCAGTCAATTAATTTGGGGTATATTAGAGAAACTTACTGAATTAAGCAGTGGATGTAAATATTAACTGGTTAGATGGAGGATTACTGTTAAAATGGCCGACACATTCATGAATATTTTACAGCTGAATTACCGTATGCTTTAAACCAATCCATTTTCTATAAACGTTTTAATTTTACCTTCCACCCTGTCTTAAAAATTAGTGGAGGAAATTAAGTTTGTTGACGTGTAAATCCTTTTTAAAATTAATTTCCTTTTTTCTTTTCTTTTTTAAAATTGCACAAATGCATGGCAATTTGGAATAAGTCCAAGCCTTGAAAGATTTACTTGAGATAAAGAGCACTTTCCTTTTTTTTCTTCTTTCATATTGCACAGCAGTCTGTGTCTCTGTAGCTTGGTGGTAGGATCTTAACCAAACAGTAAAAAAATTAGATTTGATGTCGCGTAATGAGTTGAGTAGTTAGATTGATTACTGAGTACATGTACTTGGCACTTTATGTGTATCTTAAGTGTTACCAGGACATCTTTTCAGGATCCACCATTTTAAGACAACTGATAACAGCATAGGACTTAAAACTTTAGTAGTTTGTAACCAAAGGGCAATTCCTCCTAAGTTTGTCATCATCTTATAAAGCCGTCTCAATAGAGTGAACATGCAATAGCATCTGCGCAAAAAAATGAAAATTGGCTGACTCATTTAAAAGCTTTTGGAAAAAAATGTGTTTGGTTCGTGGTGTTTTTCCCCCATCACAAAGAGGCTTTCAGCACTTTAAAATGCTTTGCCCAATTCAGTATCCTCAAAGTAATCTTTGTAGCTCTCCATTTAGTTGACCGTGGTTTTGTAGATAAACCTTGCTTTGCCCCCGCCACAAATTTGCAGCGCCGTGTGACTCATTTTGTGAAAATCAATCACATAATGCGAAATCATGTCTAGAGTCACTTATTTGTGGGGGGAAAAAAAACCAGAATAATCTTGTATTTTGTGCATCTTGTTTTCTTACGGTGCTTGTGGTTTTGAAATACAGTTGTTTGAAACCATTCCAATCTTTTTTGGCCTCTCTCCCTACAGAAAATTCACTTTAAAAAAGACACTCAAATATCTAGCATTGGCTCTGTTTCACCCTTGAAGAGTAAAAACTTTTCAGGACAAACTTTAGAAAAGTTAGATTGAGTACTTGCTTATTACATATTGTGATCCATTTTCACAGAGCAGTTTGCACGTATCGGTGGTCTGCCATGGCTCCCAGTCCTCTACTTTTGTCATTGATTTCATTGTTGAATAAAATCCAAAGTTCACTACTTGTTCTGACACATCCGTCATCTGTAGCGTAATGTGCATGGCAACTCGTACTCCTCACACTATTTTTTCGCACCATTTTTATGCCTCCTGTTTTCCTCCATTTGAAAAAAAAAAAAACAAAGTGAAACATCTGAAGATTTATCCTCATATTCATTGCTGTAATTTGTTTGATTGTATTTCTCTCAAGCAGCTTAATGAGAAGGTTTGGGGTGCAATAAATGAGTAGCAAATTAAAACTGCAGCAGAATTTATGGAAAAATCTGGTCCTTTTCTACAAAGCTCAGTGAGGAGCTTGCCTGTTTGAAAGAGACAGTGTCATCTAATAAGCCTTTTAAAAGTTAAATTTCAATAAAATCTGGTGCACTGAGTTCTTTAAATTCACATGATGATAACAGTTTAAATTCTCCATACTAAAAACTGTACCTCGTGACTCGCGGCAAGCTTTGTTACATAAGAGACACTCTGCAACAAAAACCCCCTTCTCAGTGGATAAGAAGGGCACAAAGGAACCAGTCTATTCCAGAGAAAAACTTGCCCCGAATCACACCGTCTTTAGTCTGGGGAATTCAAATTTTTACATTTATGTGCAATCAGATAACTCAGTGTACCACATTTTATTCAAATTCAAAGAGGATGATCTGAAGTAATCATTGTGTTTTAACAGACCAACAATCATCAGTAGTCTACGTGCAAAGCCTCAATATTTCAGTAAAGTTTTTCCTCAGGTTTTTTTTGGGGGGAAAAAAAAACAATCAAGTTCTATTGCATGTTCACTAGTCTGATCCAACCAGTTGTTACAGTCCCAGTTGACATCTGATTCATCTTGTCTGACATGATGTACCTCTCATGATTGTTAATGTTAACACATCCTCGTGAAGTTTTTGTCTTATTTTTCCCCCTCTCATGTACAATTTGCTAATAATGCCTTGGAATGGACCTGTTTTATGCACTGGTGTATGTCAGCAGCACCATCGAGCCTATTTTGTATTCCCCTTTTGAGTTGAATCACATATGGGGTTGGTTTGCCGGCTTGGAAATGAATCAAATCTTTTAGAAATGTCTTGATTTAAGAGAATGATTTGAAGAAACCTAAACGTAAGCACACTGGCGACTTTTGAATGTTTGTTTCTGCATAAATACAGTTGAATTGTCGTTGTTTTGATTTTTTTTTCTTTGTTAGTATTCTGGCATGTTGAAATAAAATTTGATCACATGGTACATGTTTGTGCAAAACTGAAATGCTTCAGAATGACTGGTTTATAGATTGCTAAACCGGTTTATGAACTGACTCGTAGACAGTAAACAAGGGTTGAGGAGTCGACTGTGTGTTTCTATCTCTCTTCTCTTGATTCATTATTTATGCATGAGGTCACTGACATCCACCCTTTGCTTCTTTTGTTTTTCCACCCACAATGCATTGCTGCTCTGCTTGCTGGTTTATGTTAATGACTCTGCCTGTCCCATGCTGCAATCCCATTGGCCAAAATCCATCATGGCTGCGCATACTAATAAGCTTCCGACCACGCCTGAAACAATCAGCAAGAAACGAGCCCGGGAGCCTGCCGATGACATCATTCTGGTACTGGAAGTAGTCTTGTTTGTCTTTATGCTTTGCCAATTGATTATTATTCATTTATGTAAATGTCTCTGATTTTATGTAGATTTTAAGTAGTTCTTTTTTTCCCAAACTGGCCACTCAGTGCACGTGTGGTGATGGCACCTGCATCCTTTTTTTGCCAAAATGGTGGCAGTGTTCAAAGTATGAAGCACTTCAAAAGCAAAACATTGTCTGTTTCCAGTGTATAAATGAAGACACTATTTCCAATTGATATGTTTTCCAGTGGAATGACGACTTTATTTTCTGATTCCAGTGGACTTGCGATCTTGACGATGCAGTATGGACTGCTCTTTGAATGTCATTAACCTTGAAAAACTTCTTTTCAAAGATAACTTCAGCATAGTTATTAGATTCCATTTTCAAAGTCAGGCAATATACATGTAATCTATGATGAAATGTTAAGAGCATGTTTGCATATCTAGTTAATTTTGAAATACAAAAAAGATGTTCGACTTTAATTCCAAAGGAAAAATCCCAAAACATGCACACAGATAGATTTAAAACCTTCCTCAACAATAAGTAAATCAATAAACAAAACAAAGAATTTCTTTTAAGTTCAACAGGAGAGCATATCTTATGAGAACTTCATAGGATGCTCTTATGAGAACTTCGTTGGGAAGTACACTGGTTACAAGATCTCTAAGCCCGCAGAGGCAGTTTCAATATCATCATAGCCACAAGGGAGTTCTGACAACCTTGATTGTAGTTCTTGTTACAGTGGCATTCACTGGTGCACTGATGTCAGTTGATAACAAAACCAATCAAAGTCGAGCGTAGTTGATAGGGATGGAATGTTAACTTGCTGCTTGATAGAAAGTTCGACATTTTATGGTGCTAATGAAAGTTACTACTTTCTTCACCAGTCTGGTTGCCATTGCAGAAACCCTGTACAAACCCACACTTACATGCTTGAGACAGCTCACCTTTGTCTTCAACTTAGTCTACCAACCCAAATTCAGGAGCGAAGCAAATTGTCAATTCCTGCGTGTTTGGGTATTTTATCTGAAACTCAACACTGATTGCCTTTTCTTCTCATTTCTGAAGAACCCAGACCCAGCAAAACAACTGATTGTCTAATATACATCAAGCAGCAAGCTAACACTTGAACACATTCTTTTGATGAACTGGAGAACTTGGAAAATTGTGGACTTTAGGTTGTTTGAGGAAATTTTATTTTGGTGACTCTGAAGAGAAGGTTTTTGTATACTTTAAGGCATCTAGTCTTTGACATTCGTAAAAAGGAGGTCATTTTATACTTTCAAATGAAGGACTCATTGATATTTCTGTGTTCCCATATTCATGGATCTGTCACAGGTAGAATTTCTTAAGTTAGATAAACATTTTCAGGAAAAGTTCTTTTTTTCATGAGTTAGGATCAGTGTAGCTATTTTTACATCTGTGTGCTGTTAAGCAAATTTGGTCTCATTTTTTTCCTCTGCTTTTTTGTGTTGATGTCCGCGCCTTGGCTTTGCTATGTCTTTGTGCTGTGGTCATGATTTTTTTTCAAACAACAAATGGCATTAAAAAAACAAAACCGCTGTGGCCTTGTATGGTCCTTTCGCACACTGACTAAAAATGGTTTTGTCTTTGAAAAAAATTAGTTCTTTAGTAACAGAACTTAGTACTAATGGAAAAAAAAATCATATATTAAAGTAATCTTCTCTAGGTGGAAGTTAGGTTGAGAATAGAACCATTGCTATAGTTTTGGGTAGTGTAAAATGTACACTGTATTTAAATTGTCATGTTTATTTGCCAGCTGTCCGTACAAAATCGAGAAGTAATATTGAAATATTTACATTTATATAAGTAATTTAGGATGGGGTGTGTTTTTTTAATGAACCCCGTGTCTTTAGAAGCAAACTCAACAGTGAAAGAATTTCACCATTGAAAGCTTCATTGAAGGTTTTCATTAGCAAAAGGAAAAGGGGAATTATCACACTGCTATGGAAATCAGAGACAGACGACGGCTAATGACCAACTGCATCTTTTTCACCAGCAGTATACCGTTTAGATATTGTAGAATTTGAATAATTAGAAATAGGTACACGTAGTGTTTTTATCGATCTCCTTAAAACCCAGGGGTTTGTTTGTAGTACTTTTATGAATTCAAACAGTTCCCTCCAATTGTCTTTTTTTCTCTCTCTCTCTTTCTCTTTCCCCATTTGTTTTGTGCGCTTCACATTTAACATACCCAGAATCCTGCATTGCCGGGACTCATTCCACCACCCAAGAAGGGGGTGGGGGCCATATCACACCTAGCAACACAGAGTGTGATTCAACACCACCCAACGATGTACCAGCCAGGTCTACCTTCATCAATGCAGATGAATGGGCAGCCGTCACATTATCTACCGCCACCAAGTGAGTTAAGCCTTCAAGTCTTATTTTTGGACCACCGATTGTTTATGATTTCTGATATTGGTTTCATTGTTTGCATTTTGTTCATTTCTTTGCTGAAGTACTTCTGGTCCTCTGGCTTTTTTGCTCTCTTGGCCTTTCTATGGTTGGATGCTGTGCTTCCTTTTAAAGTGAAGGTCTTGACAGCATGATTAAACCCCATCCAAAAGTCAACCAGCCCCCCCCCCAAAAAAAATTTCTAGCTCACACAAAGACAAAATGCCCATAAACACAGTTTAAAAAAATGCCAGGCCCCTAATATTTCTGTTGAACTTGCCTTTTTAGACATTTGTGGAAAATCTTGATCTGTATATCCCAGAATATCTTCATTTGACCAAAAGGGTTGTCAATGGAACACAAACTAGAATCAACCTTTACTAAGAATGTATTTGTGATTGGCTTAGCACTGCACCATAAGGCAGGTGCTAATTAATATCCGAAGGGTCCCCAAGGACTGTCCCAATCATGTGTCTTGTCTCTACCCTTCAACAGTGCCACCCTTTCCCTTTTGTTTCTTGCTGTTTCTTTGTAAATTTCTCTTTTGAAACTCTCTTTTCCATTTTCCTGTCTGACCGATATTTCCACAATTTTTTGTGAGTTGCAAGGATGAGTTGCATCTGACATTGCACTGATAATTCTAAACGTGATTTTGATTTTGAGAATGCTTTTGATTTTATTTTCCTTTTTGTCTTTAACTGCACTTGGCTTCCTTTCTCTCATATTACATCAATTGCAAAAGAATATTAAGCATTCCACTCTACACCACAAAGATGAAGGGCACTGTTTGCATGTAGTTCAATCCCCCTCCAAAATTCCTATTATTCACAACCAAACAAAACTGTGCTGCAGCCCTGTGCTACATTCCATTTATTGGTTGCTCCTGACCATGAGTTGCATGTTAAAGACCCTGGAAACGAGACAGCCCAATCCATCTTGTCATTGACTGAAATACTTTCCTCTTTACATCTATGGTTATTCTGTACAGTCTCTGATTCGCTTGACCTTTTCAGACCTTGCCACAAGATCACTTGTACAAGTTCTTGTAGCCTTTGGTGTTTTTTTTTCAAACAAAGCACACTTTTTAAAAGAATGCTATCTCCACTTCTCCGACTCTTTCCTACTTCAATAACTTGCAGTTGCTCTAACCTGAAAAATGCTTTCTAACGTCACTTAAAAGAAAGAGAAACGATGGAAATCAAAAATACCAAACCAACTGTCTTGTTTTTCCCAGAGGTGTCAGTGAATTGGCACTACCAAGGTTCAGGCAGCTGGGTTGCCCTTCCTGCTCAAACATGGCAGAAAGCTACTCCAGAAGGTGCCAATATTTGTGTTCTTCCCTCCTTCTTTCTGTCACTGTAACATTACATTTCACCGTAGAAACCGCTATTGCAATAACATTTGGTCTTTTCTCTCATGTAGTTTGCTGATAGATATGTGTACCACTCATCAAAACTCATCTTTGTGGAAGATGGAAAACAGATGAATAAACAAAGTGCACACATCACATTTACCTTAAATGGGGGGGTGTTAAAGCTGTTTGATACTTTCTGTGAATGAGCACCTTTTTCCAAGGAAGGTATTTGTACAAAATTTGCAGTTTTTAAAAAACAGTTTTTATAGTAATGTGAAATTTCCATGCAGTATGGCATTACCCCGGCATGGAAAAGTCAAAATGCCATTCATTATTGACATAGTTATCTGATAGCCCTTTTGAAATTTGAAAGAGTTCTGACTACTCAAAAGGAAATGCCGTGAGGAAAATTAGTTTTGATGAGTACATGTGTATCTCAAGTTTGCTGTAGATTGCTGATAGAACTCATTGCTCTTATATGCAGATCTAAAATATCAAAATAACACCACTACTTCCCCTAAAAAATCAATCACGGACATTGGAAAACATAAAAATCTTCACTAAAGTTGCTGTGGAAAAAATCAGTTTCAGCAGAAAACAATTAACAGATTGTGCCATAAATCTCAGCACCCATTAATGTGTGGGGGTCTCTTGTTTTTTAGATGTGACAGTTATTTTCATCCCAGCACTGACCTCTGTTGTATTCATGGACCAGTTTTCCTGCCCATTTTTTGGTTGAATTGCTTTATTACTGTAACCATTTTTACCGTTATATTTCTTCCTGTTACGTGATGAATAGTCCCGGTTACATGCTGAGTACATCCACAGATACAAGAAAACACAAAGTAGTCATTCAGCAACAGGGACCCAAGAGTTGTGTTCACAGTTTAAATTTTTTTAGTCAGTGAGACTAATGACTGAAATGGTCACCAGTTGTGCCTTCAAAGGACCATCCTAAGAAAACTTAAATAATCCACATGTTTTATTGTCAGTGTTGCTTTGTGCTTTTATTATTTAGATGTACTCACTAATTTTGCATGTAGCTGGCATATTAACAGTTCTAATGTCTTGCTTCATTGGTTGCTGTTACCTTGCGGTGTTGCACCTGAATGTAAATTTGAACTTTTGCACCAACATGCACTTGCAAAAGTTGTAGCTCTGAGCAAGCTGTGTATGTTTTAATTAAAACAACCATTTTGATTTTATTTTCATATGTTACCATGATTCCACCCTTGTCTTCTGTTGTTTCTTTTTGTTGGCATAATCTCGGTGTGAGGTGGCTCTCCTAATAGCCGTAGGATATCAGTTTTTTCTCAAAAAGGAATGTTTTTCGGATGGCCAGTCACTTCTTTATAGTACAAAGACACACCATTCTGAGAGTCTAAAAACATGATTTTGGGGGGCAAGACAATGAGTCACTTGTGGTTCAATAACATCATTTGTAGAATTTCAGCAGTGGAATTCAGTTTAGAAATAACTGTGTCAAATGTCCCCAGCACAGAGAACGGGAGACTATACATGTACAAAGTTTGGGCAAGGAACAAGCACCTTGGCTAATTCAACAGTATTGAGAAGTTCAACTCCCATCTTTGTCAGATTTTCTTTTTGATTGGTCCACATGTCTGGTTGAATTACTAAAGTTAGTTGAATGACCAAAAAGTGACAACAAAATTAATTTCATCCCATCAGCTCCTATTCACATATCAAAACTTTAAATTTTTATATACGCCCAGTGTGATATTTTATTTATTGGAGAGGGGAATATGTCACCTCAGAGTACATCGTAAATCATTTAAAGTCTGTGGTTATGACTATCCATTGGTCTTATGTTCAATTTTTTTCTATCAGATCACCCACATTTTCATCAGTCCACATGCAGGTCCTTTCTATTTCAGCTCTATCCATATACTTCATTTCTTACTTCCAAGCACAACCACTTAAATTAATGGAATCTTCAAGACATGACAACTTCCGAACATCATTCTAATTTGTGGTTATTTTTTTTCTCCCCCTCTCTACCAACTCTCCCAATATCTGCCATTTGAAAATGCTTGTGTCTGCGCTGCGCTTGACAACCTTAAAACTATTCAACAAAAAACTGTGGCACGCTTCAATTCCCAAATCGCATGCAAACCAAATCAACAAAACCACCTGTCCACCACAACAACCAACCCCCTCCCACAAATATACCACTTCTCCATACCTTGTGCTTGGCTGGCTGGCTGGTTTCCATGATGATGTCTTGTTGCCATGATGATGTCTTGTTGCCATGGCAATGCAGTTCCCATGATGCCAACAGTGCCTCCTGGTGCCGCAGCTACTATGCCTTCTTTCTACACACACCAAGTTATGGCCCAGCAGGTAACTGTGCTGCTGTTGTTGTTTTTGCCTATTAAAACAAGAAGGGGAACACTTTGGAGCGTCTGATGTGTTTATGTGCTCATCCCAGGAGAGATGCTGTCCTTACCATTAAATGCTCTGTAATGTAGGATTGATTGCACATCAGGAAATCTTTAGGTGCCTGAAGCTGTTGTACAAAAGAAGAAACTGAAAGATAAAATAAAATTTGGAGGGCAGGTGACAAAAATAGATCATAGAATTCAAAGCGCATTTCTTTTCCCCAAAGAAACTGGTAGTGAAAGAGTTTTGGAAACAGTCCAGCAAGTTTGTACAAATACATGCAAGTTGCACTATTCTGTGGTGTCATGTTAGTGAAAAGTGTTGTGCAGCAACTTTTTAAAGATACCAAGTTTAAAGAGAAAAATTTACTGTATAGGCAAAGATCACCCAACAACGAGCACATGAGCACAGCAGTTCCATTGGTTAAAGTGAATACTGATTAAATGTTTTAAAAAGTGAAGCAGTGAGTGATTTCAAACTAAGTAGCATAAATTTCGCCTGGGGTCTTTTGGTTTCTCTTGAAATATTCTGCATCCAAAAACTTGGTTTACTCACTGCTAAAATAAAACATGTACCCTGGAAACAGTATCCAGTAAAATGGAAGATATTAATACAGGCAATTTACAATAGTGCGCCTCCAAGAGTTTTCAAGGCACTGGCCAATCACAATGCGCCAAATCTGTCGACCCTTTGCAAATGCACATTGGGTCGACAAATTTCACGCATTGTGATTGGCCAACACGTTGCAAACTCTTGGAGGCACACTATTGTGAATCGCCCGTATTGTTGATACTGTTGTGACATACATCGCTGCATGTGAAGTTCAAACTTCCATCGTTTGGGTCAGTCGAGGGCAAAAACGAGGGGACTTTCAATTCCTGATATGTATTCACTTGAACTACTGTGCAGTTTACTGGCCCCTTGCATGTTAGCTGGTAGTCAATTTTTAAAAAAAGCAAAGATATGGCGGCTGAAAATGCTGTGAAAAATGACAAGTAAATCAAGAATTTTTTTTTTCAAATGCTGGCATGACGGGCTGCTAATGGTGTACATTTGCTTTTTTTTTAAGAACCAAAAAGGAGAAGGGCAATTCATGAGCTGAAAGTTACCGCCAGGGACACAAAAGCTTTTCAGAGAGTGGATGTTATTTTTGTAGATCCAGGCATTTGAAATCGCAAAGTGCTTTGGAAAAATTAAGACAGTGCAGCCGTTTCTGCAAACTAAGCATGAAAGTTCATTTTTTGCAGCATGCAGCTATCATATCATAGAACTATATATGCACATGGATTCACTTTACAGTGTCAAGATTTTTAATCCACATAAACATCCTAAGTTACTTATCATTCATTCTTAAGTTGTACTAAACACTACGAGATACAATACGAAGATATGCAGATTATGTAGTACATACTTCCAAAGTTATGTTGGATTCAACTGTCTACTGATCATATAGTAGTCAGGCAGCCATCTAAAACAAAAAATCCTAGTTGGGATCTGTGAAACAGCTGCAATGTTTTTAGAATAGACCTAAAACAGTGACGTCGAGCTTTGTTTACATGTTTGTTAAGCGTACTCACTGGATCTCATCCTATCTCTCTGCCATAGGAAAGGGCACAAGTAAACAAAGCGTGACATCATCAAGTCCTTACAGGTCTATCAGGTTCGTAAGTGACTTAGTCACAAAGGCAGACGCACCACGATTTGCAGGCTCCCATTGGACAATCCCTGAAGTTACGCGTTAATTTCCAGTGCCATGGTTCCAAGTAAACAGCGATCAGTGCATGTTGGTCTGTGTGCAGTACATGTGCAGTGGGCATGGTTTAAACTGAAGTGACGTCACACTTACGAACCAGATTGACTGTACCTTTTAACCAGAGCATAGTTACAGTTGAATGAAAACCACTTGTTATGATGGATGTTGTCTTCCTTTGTAGCAGTCTGCTGATACGATACCAGTGTGTCGTGATTTCAAGTCCGGTAGCTGCAAGAGGCCCAACTGTAGATATGCACACGTGACGGAAGGTAAGGCAGAAAGTGGCCATTTCAGCTGAAATCACTTCTGGTGTATACAGTGACACTTATTTCATGTTTTGTGTCAGAGTGAAGTATCCGCCCCGAGCTGAAGTGCACCCCCAGTCGGCGAAAGAAAGACAGGTGGTTACAAGCGGGTTCTTGCATGCGTTCTGGCTGTATGCAAGGACCATACATGCCGCAATAAATTAGTTAAGCTTACCCAGTGTGCTCTGCGTCAAACGTGCATATACTTGCGCGCCTCATGGCACACCTATACGAGGAGTACCAAAAACACGCCCTTTTTTGTTCCGCTCGGAGTGGATATCCTAATGTAGAGTTGGGTCAAGAGTTCTGTCACTTTTGCTACAAGGACTGTCCACTTGTCGATTTTTCTTGGGAAAGTTGAATGTCTTGTTAAACATTACAGAGCTTACAAATTTAGAAAAGTGGGAAATGCACAGAGTAAATTGTCATCGTAAATTGTAGTGATAGAAACGAAACTTCGTGAAAATGGAAATAGCAGCTAGGTATAGATTGATGGTAGAAATTAATCACTTTTATTAATTGTGGATATCCTTTGTACAAATTTAGACTGCCAAAACCAATCCGATAGATTAATTCCCAGTATTTCCTCTTAGCACAACAAGAGGCTTTTTGTAAAAGCTATTATTCTTGTGTTTTCATTCTCCTAACTTCCCTCACTTGCTTCACAGACTACGTTGAAATCATAGATGGCAAGGTAACGCTATGCCGGTACGCGGCACAGAGCCGGTGTACGCGGCCCAAGTGTAAATTCTACCATCCTCCCACATCTGCCGCCCTGGCAGTTGTGGCGGCACCTGTCTCCATACCAGCTCTACCGGCACCTGTCGTCACATCAATTTGATTTTCGATAGAGCTTCCACACAAAACAAAACAAAGAAAAAAAAGAAAAACAGCAAGTGTTACTTGCGTCCCGCCGTGGATCATTCCAAAGAATCTTTTAAAAACGAAATGTTGAACAAGTGTCTAACATGATTTTTTTCCTCCTTTTTTTTTGTTTTATATTTCTATAATAATGTTATTGTTATTGTTAAACTTTACATATTAAGAAATTTTAGACAACTGGTACCGTTTTTCTAAAAGACGGCCACCGGTGAGTTCTTTTTACTTTTAGAGTAACTTTCTAGGTCTGATGAGGAACTTTGAACTACTAACTTTTAACTGACTTGAGTTAACCTCGAAGTGCAATGTGTTGTGTAAGTGGTAAGAAGACCAAACAAGGAAACAAACAAGTGTATGGTCTAGAGGCTGTGCCAGATGTTTACTCCAGTGGGGCACTTGATCACACTCAGTTCCCACATACTGCCAGACAGTTAAAACAAGAAGACAAACTCAAAGGGATCACCCCTTGGTGTTTGTTGAACACTATGTGTTGAATCTATACCAGGGTGGTTACAAAGCACCTTTGCGCAATCAGATGTTGTTATGGGGACAAAGTGTGTAACGATACGAAAGATTAATGAGGGTCAAGTGTTAATAGCTACCGACACGTCAAACGTGCATGTAAATTATTTCATCGTTTAAAGTCCAAGATTTTAACCCTGTGAAGGAGGGGCCTTAAAACTTTTAACTTTTGCAGCTGAGACAAAAGGCCTACAAGGCTAATTAAGTTTCATTTTGTTGTTGACATTGTATGTTCACCAGAAAAAAAAAATTGTATCTAGTCAAACCCCTCCCCCCTAAAAAAGAAATGCTGAGTTTTTAAAATGTGTTGCAGACAAAAAAAGCTAAAATGAAAGCTGGCATAATAATTATGTATTGAAAGAAGAGCAGTTGCTGATCAGCAGTTAGTGGCGCTGTGTGCTTTATTTTCATTCATTTATTTCAAATGGTGTAAGGCTTCCAAATTGTGGTCAGAGGTAAAAAAAAAACCTTTGTCATCGTGGAACTGTTGGGTGAAAAATACATGACTTCTGGTATTTTCCATTATTGACAAACCATTCATGACATCATTTGCTTGAGAGAGTACACAGTGCACACATCTAACTAAGGAGACCAACTGTTTTAACCTGTTTATGCCAACAGAACTGCTTTGTATAAATGCCTTCTCATTGTGCATGGCAAGAGCAGGTGTAGCCAATCACATGCACTGTTGCTTCTCTTACGATGCTGGTGAATATTAAAAATGCTTGGTTTTCCCGTGGTTATTGGCATGACTTCAGTTGCTTTTGTTTCCCATAGTGAACCTTGCCGAGAAGCACATTATTCCTAATGGCACACAAACATTGCTAGTTTGAATGTTGGAGGGATAGTGATAGCCTTGAAAATGTGAGAACCTGCTTTTAAAAGTCACAGAATTTAGTTTTTGTTGGAATTAGCATCTTGAAAGTGAAATTGAAGAAATCACCGTGTACTTCAAAATCAGTATGTTGACCGTCAAACTTTGTCATTCACTTCTGACGTCAAACTAGCAACGTGATTCTAACATACATGCAGACCACTTGGGAATGCCTGGTGCATTGTTTTCATTATTTAGCTGTTGGCAGTGCAGCATACTCATAGTGCCTGGCTGGGATTTTGTGGAAGTAGTGGCACTATGCCAATTTCATTTTGATCAGGTCTCGTCAACACAAGAAGCCAGCAAGAAGTTGTGAGTCTTGAGTTTAATGTGTGGCAGCTGGGGCTTTTGTTCGTCTTTTTTCCATCTCCCACTTTTGGTTGTTTTTACGTGTGCTGTTATTTTCCTTTTTTGGGTTAACGTTGTTTGCTTTCCCTCCCTTCCCGAACAGACCAAGTAGAGATCATTGAGGGTAAAGTGACGCTGTGTCGTGATGCCATCAAGGGCAAATGTGCACGAGCCAATTGCAAATACTACCACAACTCCTCCAATGCCATCGCCACTGCCTCCGCTGTCAATGCTAGTTCCACCGTTGCTACGACAATGGTTGCTTCATGCTCTACTCTGGCTGTTGCTACCATGGCTGCTCAATAAAGCAAAGGAGACATATCCAAAAAAAAAGGGGCTGTTCTCTCTTTGCCTGCCTGCCTGCCTGTTTTGCCTGCACAATCCCCCTCCCTCTTTTTGCTGGCGCTATATAATTAGGCCCCCTCACCACCCAGCTCGGAACCAGCCTCAGAAAATTCACTTTTTTTCCTGACTACTCTTGTATTATCTATATGCTTACATGTACATCTTAGTGTCTTTAACCATTTATATAGAGAGCATTTTTTGGTCCATTTCATTTTCTTGTACTGGTATCATTGAGTTTCTGATTACATTAAGCATATTTTTTTTTTGTATTGAGCTGGAGAGACTGTCCTGTTTGCACATCATGAATATCACGACATGCATATGCACATACACAACGGCGACGAACGGAGGGGGCTGAATTATGTACAGCCTGCATGAGGATGTCATTGTGCATAAGTTAAAAGAGAAAAATATCCACAAGGTTGGGATGGTTGCCGCTGTTGCTTATTTGTAAACATGGGAATGTACCTGAGTAATAATTGATGACTTTGAGAACCCTTACAAGATAATGTGCCAAAACACAAGACGAAAGTTATTAAAATTTGATGCATGTAAATGTTGGAACTTTAACTGACGTATTTCAGAAAGTCAACTGATGACAAAAGATTTGTCAGTTTGTTTTTTGGTTTTTTTTTCAATTCTAGATTGCTTTTTATATCCTAAATGTACCTTGATGAAATCTTGCACATGAAACCTGTGAATGGGGAAAATACTTTGAGAAATATTCCAAAATACTTAATGGTGCTTTCTGTCTGCTTCAACTGAAATAAACATCACAACTTTTTACTGAGTTTTATGTGGGGCCCTCTGCTTGCTGTTGTGTAGTAGTTACCGGTAGGTGTTGGAAGGTGTTAATATTTTTGCTTGAGTGTGGAAATACTTTTGAAGAAGCACCTTGTAAATACCATCTGAAACCTGTGGATATTTTTTGTGTTGATTTCATAGAGTCATGATCAGCTTACAAATTAGACAAAGAACGGTAGGTGTGAACGGATGATTGGAAGGGGAAAATTGGGGTGCGCTTACAGACAAATGCAGTGGATTGGCAATGTCAGAACACACACCCAGAACAAATCTCAAATAAAGGAATGTTACAAAAACATCCTTTTTCATGTAAGTGTAGAAACATTGCTTTGAATGATCTTATGCTAGAATCTTTTGCAGGTTGACCAGCCTGATACAGTCCCTACCAATCTTCACTGCGTGAATGCGAAGGTTAACCCCTTTGCTTTTTTCCCCTATCCCAATTGTCTGATCAGTGAGGACAAAAAAAAAATGCTTTCTGGGCTGTTTTTCTTCTTGGTGGTTTATCTTCCCTTCCATCTTATATTAATGAATGCTTTATTAGTGGATGTGTTGATTTTATACCATTGCCGCTGGCTACATGAATGATCTGAACGCTCATTTTGCTTGAATGCATGCCATAATGCCGACGCTCTTATATGTTATTTGTCTGTACAGAGGGGTGCCACAGGGAAATGTTCACTACAGGTTGTTAGGCTGTTGTGGTTTTTTTTCCTCTCTCTCTCTCAAGTGTTAATCAAGAGGTCTTGAAGAAATGATAATCATTCAAGTTGGCAAAACAAGCCATTGGTAGTTTGTGCAGCTGAAATGATAATGTACAGATCAGAAAGACAGTCATTGATAAGGTTGGGAAAAATGGGGTTTGAAGTGACTGGCAGCATCTAGCAGTCTGTAGTACCACGTGACACACTGTGTATAAGCCCCCCCCCCTTACAAGCCTGCTGCTTTGAGGTTGAATAATACTGTCACATGACATTCATGCCAAGACTTGACATGGAACTCAAATTTTTATCTTTAATTTCTTAAATTCCTTCTTTCAGTTCTGAAAGAAGGAAGGCAGATCACTGTAACTGATGTTTTGTTAGCTTTTTTGTTGTCATGTTTCTGTTCAGAGTTTGCTTTTTGTCAAATGCTATTTCTTTCTTTGATTTTTACCTCCTTGTAGCCCTGAATTTATAAGCAAAAAGCTTCAGTAAAAGCTGCAAAGTAGATCAGGAAATGTGAATGCTAAATGAGGTGTGAAGGGCTAAGCTTGAGACAAGGAGAATGGTCCTTATGAAATTTCAGTGGGAGAGAAATCAAAATTGTTGTAACTCTTAACAGATTTGCTGTTGAAACAGATCTGGTTGAAGATTTGTAGGGGTTACTGCTTCAACGCTTGTCATGCGAACATGCTTGACAAAAAAGTATAAATTATAAGGATTAATGGAGCTTAGCTCCCTAAAAGAGGAAAACTTACTCTATCTCTCTTTTAAATCGAGATGAATATATCCATCTCAAAGTTTAGTGATTTGTAGTTATATAAAAACCATATGACGTGTCGAGTCATGCCTATATAATGTACTTAAACATGTTTTTGTATATAAAGTGTGAGGTTAACAATACGTTTAGACAACTATCTTATTTTGGTTTTTGTCGGTCTTTTTGAGTAATGTCTTGATCAATGGTATTAATAGTCAGTATCAACGTAGTGTCTTTTACAAATCTTGGTGCCGTCTTCTTTTTGTTTTTGAAGGAAGAAAACAAGTGTGTGCCATTGTTTATTCAATTTTAGACAATAATTTGTAAAACATCTGACGAAAATACTAGGTGTGGTTAATTCTTATAATGTTATAACAATAAAGAATACAGGGTGCCGACAATCCTAACGTAACTGGACCTTTTTGCCAAAGTATTGTAAGATTATACAAAAATAGCAACAAGTGTTTCAAGATTACTTATACTAAAAAGTGTGTGTCTTTTTTGTACAAAAAAAATCACACACAAGAAACCAACAGTGTGTTAGGTACTAGCACATTAGCTATTTTGTTGGTTGTCATGGTGATGTAAAAAAGAAATACCAGGGTTTCCGCGTTTTCCTTTTTGTGAAAAACTCGGACATTTCACCAAAGATATACACTGGATTTTTGTAATGGTATCCATGTATTGCGAGCTAGAGCCTTCAAAAGTTGCTTTGTTACTAAAAGAAGAAAAAAAAGGAAAAAGAAAGAAAAAAGTCGCAACTCTATTAGCAGTGCCTGTACCAAAAAAAAAAATCAGATTAAACGCTTGCGGTAAAAGATGGCAAAAAGTTAGTTAGATGTTGTCGGAAATTATTGTAGCCTGTTAAATGGTTATCTTCTGCTTTTTTATGTGTAAAAAAAGCAGTGATGCTTAATCTATATTAAAAAAATTGCTTCGTAGTGGTAATGAAAGCTTCGTGTACAAAAATATGGAGCAAAGCTGTAGGTGTTTTGTAATGCATTGTAAATGAACCCTGTTATTGTGCCAATAGTGAGAAGTGAAGGAAAATCATTTCTCCTGCCAAGCCAACCGTTTGGGATCTACTTCACAAGGAAAAGAGACTTTTTTTCCCCAGGGATGGTGTGACCTGTAAATGCTGTTGTGATTATCCATGTTGACATAATGAGCAGCGTTTGCTTGAAGACTGGTTTCTGCTTGTATTGAACATGTGCTGGTCACAGATAGCTTGGAACTGACACCTAAAACCGTCAACCATTTTTACTTTCCTTTGTTTGAAAACTAACATTGCTGCGCTTACAGCAACCTGCATCGCGCACGTGCATATCAAGATGGCTAATGTCTGGGACACTGTTCTTTGTCAATCTTGATTTTGAACTATCAGAGCAGGAAATATTAAATCAGAAATAGAAATCATTTCACGAATCCACAAAACTTACTTGAGCTCAAGGAATTACTGGAGATACTGTGTGTGTGTATTACAGTCACCTTTCAAATCCTTTTTCCCTTTTAGTCTGGGCAGACTTGGTAAATTTTGCTGGAAGTGTAAGGTAG